TACTAAATTTCCTTTGCTTTTAACATGGAGCCTGGTAGCTCAGCTGGTAGTAACCCCCAACAAGTGAGGGCATGGGTACAAATCCCTTCAAACCTTGAATATTATATGGCTTCTTTTCTTTAATTTCTATGATTGCAGCTCAGCAGCAAAGATCATTTCTTTACTTCTAGTGGATGGAGAAATTCAAGGGTAGCTGTCTTTCTACAAGGAGATGAAAAAAAACAACTAGCAGATAAAAGATTGATCACCGAAAAATAGTTAGATATAATAAATGGTAAATTGTGACAGTTATTATTTTCCTCAAAGGTTAAGGAGATGATGGAAGACGTTCGACAAGCTTTTCGTGAGGAAGTAGGAAACTTGACATGGATTGACGACAAGACAAGACCTGCTGTATACGAGAAGGTAAAACCTGTTATGTCATCTGTTATGTGACAGGTCAACAAGGCATCAACAAAGAAAACATGACGCACATTAATTTCCTATGGAGAATTAAAAATCGATCTTCTCCTAGCTAGCTATTCATTCTGTTAACATTTTTTTCCACGCAGGAAAAAGCGATGGTTGAAAAAATTGGCTACCCTGAAATGTGCGTGAACAAAACCTTACTTGGAGAGTACTATCAACAGGCAAGAGACAAATACGTCAACGTTAAAATCACAAAAGTTTGCTTTTTTCTATGGCGAGATAAAATTTTTTCTTCGACAGATTGGCTGTTTTAGGATGATAAAAGACGTGAACATAATAGTTTGGCTCCTTTTTTAGCTTGAAGTAGATGATAAGAGATTTTTGCTGAATGAGGTGAACGTGAGCAAGTGGTACTCAGCCCTATCCCTCTCCAAACTTAGGAAACCATCCATCAGGGGACAGTAAGTGCAATGAGTTGCTTCTACATGCAATAGACACATGGGGGTTTGCACTTTCTTACGATTTCACTCGTTTTGGTTCTGATAAAACAAAACTATCACGGGCCACATCGCAATTTACCAGCACCAGGTCTCAATTTAACCTCGATTACTACGATAAAATGCGCATGCCCTTTTTTAGTTACTAGTCAAATGAAAACTATCCCTGGAGTCCAAAAGGTGACTTTCTTGTGGTAAACTTTACAAAACGGACAGCTTTCCTTTGCGGACACTCATATCCTAGGAAAATATGCAATTTATAGTTTAGTGTATATCTAGTGTCCTTGATTAGTGTAAACTGCGCAACAACAAGTTGACACTTGGATTAAATTTCCATACGTACAGCTTTCAAGGATTTATATACTCATGCCCAGTTTCCTCAAAGAAAAGCATAACCTGCGTTTTAGCTCTATCGATAACGCGGTTATTCCCTTGAGTATAAGCAGTTGACGTCGATGAAACTACTAATCCACGTATGCGTTTTAACGACCTTTCCTCTGATTTTATGGCAGATGGTACAGTGGGCCACAGTCTGTTAATGCTTACTACCAAAGAGAGAAAAATGAAATAAGTATGTCGCTTATCCTAAGCTCAGTTTGTAAACGTTGGCTCAGTTGCAAGAAAAACATCAAGTTTAAACCACTTTTGGTTTTATCTTAATTTCAGATATTTTGGCAGGAATCCTTCAGCCGCCATACTATAGCGGCCGCTTTGCACCACGGTATGTAAGGATATCGTGAAGTCAAGATAACTATGATCTCGGTATTACGTTAATACTCCGCTAGCTAATAACGACAAGTGTGAAATGATTGTATGTTGCTCTAAAATAGTAGGCTAGAATAGTTAATGACGGTTTATCAATACATACACAGGGCGGTTAATTTTGGTGGCATCGGAATAATCCTTGCTCATGAACTTACTCATGGTTTCGACAATATAGGTAAGATGTTTCCTTTTCCAACACCCCATCGCACTCGGCTGTTTACTCTGGTTTGCTCATCAAATTCAGAGCATTCATCGTTTATTCCAGTCCTGTTGATGCATGCGAAATGTCTGATTGCTTTTGAGAGTGAAAACAAAGCACACTACAGGTCCTTTTGTTGTTTCTCTTCTACATTGATCATAAAGTTTGGCTGTTGCTTTCAATCTTACGTTTAATTTCCTTCTCTCAATATATAATATTGTAGAATTTGGAGATCTCATCGTCCTATTTCACTTGTTAGGTCGAAAGTTCAACAAGTACGGTGAGATCAGTAACACATGGTGGACTAACTTTACCCTCACTGGATTCCAAAACAAATCCCAGTGTTTTGTTGACCAATACAATAAATACCCACTCAATGTGGGTGGCAGGAAGATTTTTGTAAGTATCATGTAGCAGTTGTTTATTAACCTCATAAACCGACAATAAAGAAAGTATGGCTGTAAAACGAGTTTGTAAGCTCGACGCCAACTAAAATATTTATTCTCCTCTGTTCCTTGTCCCAGTTCGAACCTATATGCTACCAGTAAAATGGCGGTTAAAGTGACATCATTCATTTAAAAAAGCATTTCCTCAAAAATGACTGAAAGCAGTATTAAATAACATCTTGAACAAATTTGCCGTTTTAAAACTGCTAACAGCCGGCTGAAATGTTAAGTATTGGCGTGCACCTCATCTGTTTCACACTCATCAGGTGAATGGTCGACTGACATTACCTGAAAACATAGCCGATAATGGAGCTCTCAAGATCGCTTTCAGGGTAAGAAAAAAGTTATTATACGAAAAACGAATTACAACGTAGCAATGTGATATGCAAGCTATGACCGAAATGATCCGTGTAGTTAAGCTCCCACCCCACCCCTGCTGTAAATGGTTATCTCACATGTCAGAAGCACTTCTCTGAAGCCCGGTTTAATGGCTTAAGTTCGGTCCAAGCTTGCTATACGGTTTTGTTTCTTTGGATTTCTTTAAAGAAGGCATAAGTGCGAGATTCCTCCACAGGCTTATGAAAATTGGCTGAGAAAACATGGCAGGGAGGAACTCGTACCCGGACTGAACAAATCCAGTGAACAGATGTTTTTCCTTAGCTACGCCCAGGTAAAGCGACTTAGTTTAATTACTTGAACATCCTGCAAAAAACCGAGTAAGTAGTAAACTAGGTAATATATTGCGAATCAGAAAAGTTTATATAAACTAGAATCGCCCGACAGAATAAAATCCAGAGATTTTATAGGGGGCCTACCTTGACTCAATCACTTTTTTTTTGCCCATAAAATCTTAGAAACAGGTTTCAATGGATCGAGTCTCACTGTTTGTTTGTTTCTAGTTGGTTAATCTCGCGCACCACAATTTCCTGAGCACAATCGGATTGATAAAATGAAGAGAATTATACATGGGCGCACGTAGATTTGGAATTTCTCCTCGAGCGTTCAACTCGATTACACGCGAGTGAGCACAGCGAACGAATGAAGAGAAATTCCCTATCTACAGGCAACCATGTATTATTTTGTTTATTATATAAACACATTAGCCCTTCACTGACAAGAAAAGTCGACTTTAACGAATGAAAATAAAAGGATCGACAATCCCCGAATGAAAATCTTGAAGTGCATTGGCGCCAAGGCTCAAGATGAAAAAATGCGTTGAATCACTACAAAAACAACCATGGGCGTAATTTTCCATAAAATTCTCAGTTGTTGGCTTTTTCCTTACCGAAAGAAGAAATCTTTCAGGTACACAGCCAAATCGGTCTGTCGCAAATCGTCCAGTTGTCGATTTTCGTTCTCAGCCAGAGAAATGCCATCATTTTTTCGTATTTTGGTTTTCTTCCCCTTCATGGAAAGTTTGAACGGCACTGTAAGCAATACGGATTTCCCGTGTTTTAAAAGCCATAATCCGAGAAAATTCTGACAAACAGCCATGGATTGAGAATGGTGAAGGCTTTGCCGTTCATTCATCTCGCGAAAGGCGAGTGACATGTCTGCAGCTGATGGGCGGTATCAAACACACGTAGAAAAATATCGTACTATATCAAGTGCATTGTTACGGCTTTTCTCGGGCTGAAAAAAATCCTGGTACAAATCCACAGCAATTTACATTAATCTTCTTAACTAACACTGTTGTTTGTCCTCCGACTCAATTTGCATTGCTCTTAGATGTGGTGCAGCTCTTTCAGTCCTACGCAGATCTTCAGAAGAGCTAAAGCTGATCCGCATGCCTTACCCATATACAGGTAAGCCAATCACCAGCAAATAGTTTTGAGTGTTTCTGACGAACCCACTAACCGAGTAGCCAGCATTCTGAGAGCACTGGACTCTCCGTGGGAAGTCTAAAACTTGAATGACTTCGGAGGGGAGTCGCCCAGTCTCTTTCGTGCGCCTTTAAAACCGGTTAGTTTTCTTTTCAGGGTAAATGGTGTTTTGTCAAATATGGAGGAATTCGCGAAGACGTACAAATGTCCAAAGGGAAGTGATTTAAATCCCGAAAACCGATGCAGAGTTTGGTAAAACTGCGAAACGATTCATATACCGCCGCATTATGAAAATGATTGGTAAATTTCAATGATACAACCGGTAAATAATGCTGACGTTAATGACCTCTAAATGACTTTCACGTGAATGAAACAAATCTACTTTAAACTGTTCAGTTTTCATAGGAAAATACGCTGGTACTGTGAGTTCGTTCATGTACTACAGTAGAGCATGTCTATACTACAATGGAACTTTCTGTCATTTTTTTTTTCGGTTTGCAACTTTCATTATAACTTTTAGCCTTGTAATGAGGTAAAGCCACCTAACTGAGAATTCATCTCAGATAAAGTTATGTTTAGTATTTTGTCAAGAGGTGTTATGTGGTTCTTGTTAAAATATTAAAAATAAAGAAAATAATTCATCTTGTAGAGTGCTTTTCGTATTCCTAACTCTACGCTCACCAAAGAGTGAAGATCTCACTATACAGCCCGGACATTGTAGTGATTGCTGACTTCTGAGATCTTAATCTCCCATGAATAAAATCTCATCTGCGCTTTTTCTTAGAGGCAACTCGGTATGCCTCCATATATATATAAAGGGAAGTTATTGCTATGTATGGTTGGAGAAAACGTAACACTTCACTTTTGCGCGAAGCAGTTATCTACTTTAATCATTTGAACTACCTCTTTAAGGAAACTATTTACAGCAACACTTAACTATCTCCTCGGTATTCACTGAATACATTAACTTTGTTTTCTTGTGTCCTTGATTTTATCAGCACGCTTTCACCATTCTTAGATTTCACTGCGGGCTGAATTTACCATTACAAATAACAGAGATAGTATAGGTGAAGTATGATCGTCTCGTTAAAGCTGTCTTCTTGGCTCTGATAATGACTTCCGCTCAGTTGGTTACAACATCAGCCTCTGTCACCGATAGCTGTACTCAGATCAGACGACCAGAATACATGTTACTCATGGTTTCAACCTATTTAACGTAAAACAAGTATCTACCAACCAAATTTATCTACAGTCCAAAATCTCCTTCAAGTTTGCTGCATAATAGTAAACGCCCTACGGGCAGTGTAATTTGCTTAGTCTTTGAAAAGTTTACGAGTGCTGATTTATCCCAAATTGCTTAGGGTTAACTTATACTTATATAACTGTGGGTTTACTTATACAAACTGTTTCTTTTTATTGTTCTTCAGAAACACACACACACAGACAAAACTCACACGGTGGCAATTTTGAAAATAAGTGGTTCATTACTACAGGTTTGCAGTCACCACACACAGTAAGATATGAGGTAATCGCCATGAAATCAGAACACACATCCCATGATAACCTGACTAGTAAAAAGTGGCATACTTAGTTAAAAGTTCATGTTGCAGTTAACGTCAAAGCAAGGTCAAGAAGCCTCTGGACACAAACAACGCGTTGCTCCAAGTGATTAACGATAGGAGCAGGATAGTCTCGACCAATCACACAGCCGCAAGACTCTTGAAGCTCACAAGGAGCCAGCCAAGGTTCAAAGATAAACTCCGTGGGAAGATTCCTCACCTCTGGTAAATATTTCCTGAAAATAAAATTTGGACAAATAAACCAAATATTTGATGAAAATTGTTTACGTTTAATGTCTATGACAGCAGTAGAATTAATAAGGTACCCAAAGTATAATGATAATCTCTTACCTCACATATTCACCACTGGGATCAACTTTCTTTCCAACTTCCACAGGACAGAACCAAGGCACGTGCTCTTTCACAAAAGTACTTCCAGACAGCCACAACCAGTTACCAGCATTGAGGCTCCTTTCCGAGTCAAGTTGAAGTTCTTCAAAGACCTAATGAAACAAATTATGAAATGGTTGATTTGAGCATCTTCGTGAATAAACACTAAAATAGACCGATGACACAAAGTTCAACGACCGGCTCAAAAACTAGCATATTCCTTCATGTATAAAAGTGCTACAAAACAAACCAATTCCGACCTTAAACCCTTCTCGCCAGTTGATCCACAGACAACCGCGAGTCAAAAATGAGCCCACGGCACGCCGTGCGATGTCGTGAATCCAACCTTCTAAGCGGAGCTGTCTCATGATGGCATCAATCCAAGGAAAACCAGTCAAACCCTATCATAAAAAAAATATTCGGGCGTTACACACAAAGCATTACAGACTAACCTTAAGTTTACACGAGTATAAAAGGACGTTACGATAGAGTGTGATACTTATTTAAGAGCATAGGCGTAGCGTGCAAAGCAGTTTGAGTGAAGACACCCTAGAAGTTTAGAACAAGTGGTATATCCTTCAGACGAATTTTGCAATTCATCAAGCGATTTTAAAACATTGATGATGGACTTATAATAATGATAAGTTTATGGTCACGAATATTTTCTTTTGAGATCTGACCTGTTTCCATTTTTCAAGATGCTCTGGATCTTCTTCCCAAGGAATCTGTAGACTAACCGGGTTGCTGATCATCTCGTGTAAGTCGGAAACTTGGCTTCCAACAACAAAGAAGAACTCGCGCCACAACAGTTTTTTGAAAAGATCGAAAGATGGGTTCATAGCCTTACACTGAAAAAAACGCCAATGAATTAAAACAACATCATCCATACGATAGAAGTAGGTAAAGGGATACTTGAGTTTGTTTCGACAGTGTTAACAAAAAACTGACCGCTAATGAATTGAGCTTTGTCTACACGTAGGGGAAATTGACAAGATAGCGAAGTCAATCAAGTCCATAGCTGGGATATATCTCCTCCTCAATGGTTATTTACAGGAAAGAGTAACAGTTGCCTGCACTGTGAAGCTCGCTCAAGAAATAATAATTGGCTTGTTCTTAGAAGTCGTTGTACCTCACGCTGTCTACCAACAGAGTAATTCCACTCAAAACTACAAATCGAGATTAGACTTCAAGCAAACCTCTTGAAAAACAGAGTCAGTTCACAAGAGTTAGTAACTTTCGTGGAGTTTGCATATCTAAAAGCCTGGAGTGAGAGCCCTCCTCTGTACCCCTTTGTTTCCCTTCTCTTAATACATGAACAAGCTGAACTGTACCTTGATATATTCCTCAGTCATTCTTTGATAAAGGAGCCTGGGAGACAGACAACCCAGCCTCAGGTAGGGGCTCAGGTGGTATTGTGACGGCATCAGTGAACGGGCTGTTAACAACGGCTCACAAAAGTCGTTCTTTACCATCTGCAGGAATTATATTGACTACGTCACAATGGGAAATACAAAGAGCTTAACAAATCAAGATATACTAAGAGTTTACCAGCGAGAAGTCCTAGGAATTGTCTCCCCTTGCCATCTATAAGCAGATGGGCAATGAGTTTGAAAGCTTACCTGAGCATAAGACTTACAGTAGAGCAAAGTGGAACATTACCAACAGATGGGCGTAAAGACAACATAATTTTACATACAGTATAATGCTATTGGTACAAGTTTCCTTCATTTGAACGGCACAACATCACAAAGCGAAAGCAACAAAGGCCACCACCTGGTTTAAATAAGTGGTTTTCTAAACAACACGAAACATTTCATGAAGCCAGAGCCATTGACCAAAAAGAGACTGCTATTTGGAAAAGTCTTTCTAATTGGAAAACAACTGGCTTAGAGGAATAATTCAAGCAAAATGTCTGAAAGAATTCCAACCTCGCATAAAGCTGCCTCCATCCTTGACAACGCCTCTCTCTCGCCACCTTGATAAAACCACGAGCCACTAGAATGCAGCTTTTGGATGTCTGGTGCAGGGACTCCGTACCGCGTATCATGATCTCTTCCTACGGGAGTAACACACGAGCCAAATAGCTTTCTGTCAACCCTTGGCACTGGTTTTTGGGGTCGCCCAAGTTGCACAACAAGTTTTTGAAATTCGTCGAAAAGTTGGGGTGCTCTTCCTTCAGGTGATTTTAGAAGCGCTTTAGTGTCATAAAGGGTGTGTGACACGTGGCTGATAACTTGGATTCGAGCTTTCTTGGCAACAGTAGTCACAACCATATCCCTGGTCTTACAATCAGGCTCACAATCAACCTCAAAAGAGAGCCGAGTGATGCCCCACTGTTCAAAAAGAGATGGTAAGACATCTAACGGTCTACCCTCCAATACGAAGAGACGCGAGCCGTACTCCGCCAGACTGGCATCCAGGTCCTTTAGTGATTCCAGCAATAAACGCCAACGGTTTGGACTCAATCTTGCTTCAGCACAACTATCAAGAATATACACTCCATAGAACACTGCACTGTCTACAAGGCAATCTCTTAAAGTGGGATTATCGTGAAGTCGAAGATCCTTCCTAAACCAGTGAAGACTGATGTGCCCTGAAAAGAAACGTAACAAACCCGCTTAAGAACTAACATCGTCTTAAAAAAAACCACCTGGTAATTCAGAGTTAAACTTAACTTTTAGAACACTAATAACAAATGACAAACCAACTTTGAAGCCGGGGTCGCATGTACTCCTCGTACTTTACACTACCATTGCTGTTCGAACTATTATTTTATTACAAGATCTAACAATGATGATGTGAGGTCCAACCAAGTGTACCTTTTTGATGTTTAAAAACATTAAAAGGTAAACGTGGTTAGATCTCCCACCATCATAGTCAGTTGTACAATATTACCTACCTGATATGTTCAAGGTGTTGCACATATCTTTCAAGCGCCGCACACAGATCTTTCGCTGTTCAATGTGATTAGCTAATGGTTCCGGATAATCGTCACCAACCACGCACCGCGCCGCCTTTTGGACTGCTAAAGGCGCTTTCCAAGGCTCGAACAGATATTGCAGAGGTAACCTTTTCAGTTCTGAGACATAACGTCTACAAAAGAAAAAAATTGTAAAGTAAAACTGAAGCACGCAAATAAACAAAATTTCCCAAAATGAAAAAAAAGGTTTAGAGGAAACCTTAAAATAATCCATACGGAGAATGGTTTTAAAACTTATTTTCACCTCACATATTCCCCATTGGGATCAACCTTCTTCCCAACTTCCACAGGACAAAACCAAGGTACGTGCTCTTTCACAAAAGTACTTCCAGACAGCCACAGCCAATTTCCCACATTCAGACTCCACTCAGCATCCAATTGAAGCTCCTCGAAAACCTTAAGAAAGGAAATCAATCTTTTAACCTCTTTACTCCGAACCAGAAACTCACTGTAAAATACCCATTTGGGTATTTCTTACCTTAAATCCCTCTTCCCAGTTGATCCAAAGGCATCCCCTGGTCAAGAAACACCCAACAGCCTGACGTGCCATATGAGGGATCCAACCCTCTGTGCGCAACTGTCGCATTACTGCATCAATCCATGGAAATCCAGTAGTGCCCTGGAAGTTGTAAAGCACATTGTTAACACATATTATCAACAACACCGTCGTTGACATAATTCCATGAAACTTACATTCTTCCACCGCTGGAGACCTTCAGCATTTTCCTCCCATGGATACTGCATGGAGAGAGGGTTGTTGTCCATCTTGTGCAACCCTGGAAAGGTACTTGCAATGGTGAAGAAAAACTCTCGAAGCAGAAGAGGTTTGTAAAGTGACATGGGTGGTATGGTACCTTTTGACTGCTTCCCATGAGGGCACAAAAAAAAGGAAAAAATATACAAAAAAATCAAATATATAAAACAGCAATAAGTAGTTGAAGGCTTTATTTATCTAATTTGACAATAATTAAGTTTAAACCAAAATAAAATTTTCACCACATCCCTTGTTTGCTGAGAGAAAAAAGTTGCAAGGAAAATCTTCATATGTTTACAATCTTGTCAATTCCCAAGTCACTTCTTCATTTTCGAAATAACACCCATCCCATCAACCACTGAGTTGCTATAAAAGTTATGTTCACGAAGTTTCCAAGCATACCCAGTCATGCCTTTCTATCACAGAATCATTATGCACCTCAAGGCCAGTCATTTATTGGGTTTTTTTATGTAACCTTTTAGATTTAATTTAAAGGTGATGCATACCTTGACATAACAGTCAGTAAAGCTCTCCCACATCATTCTGGGTGACAAACATCCAAACCGAAGGTATGGACTTAAGTGAGTTTTTGAGGAAGTCATTGATGCTGCACTTAATGGGACCTCCTCAAAGTCGTTTTTCACCAACTAAACACATAAAAAAAACAAAAATGAATTAGAATTCTGAAATACTATACTAAGAAATTACCAAAACAAGTTGTCATTCACGGTTAATTCTTACCCATCAGTTTAACAAAATTTAGCAAGTTACGAAAATGTATTATGTACCTCTTTCTCAAGAAGACCAAGTCTTCTTAAAGCCTCTTGTTCTCCCCCTCTCCATAACCCTGCACTTGTCACACATCGTATGTCCTTCACTCCTAGCTCATTCAATTCAGGAACTCCATACTTCCTCTGATGATCAACAGCTACTGGTGTCACACAGTTTCCCACAAGTTGTCTGTTCACTTCTTTGACAGGACTGGGTACACTGAGCTTGTTCTCTTCGATGACTTTCACAAATTCTTTGAAAAGCATTGATATCTTCCCCCGATTGGCATCGACAATTTGACTTGGCTCAAACAGAGTGTGTGATGTTTTGCTGACAACTTCAACTCCTGATTTCTCTGCTATATGTCGGATAACAGCATCTCTCTGGGCCCCAAATGGCTCACAGTCAGTTTCAAAGCTAATGCGAGTTATGCCCCAATCTGAGATTAATTCAGGGAGCACCTCCACAGCTCTGCCTTGTACCACGAACAGTCGTGATCCAAGCCTTGCTAGCTGATTATCCAGATCTCTTAAGCTCTCAAGTAAGAAATTCCAGCGGTTGGCTGAGATTTTGCTCTGCTTTGCTGCTGCGGTGTCCAAAATGTACACAGGATAGAATGTCTCACTTCCGTTCAAGCAGGAGCGCAATGTGGGGTTGTCATGAAGCCTCAAGTCTTTTCTAAACAAATGCACACTGGTGTGTCCACTTTGCATCTCTACAAAGAGAAATTGAATTACATTTATCTATTTCCTGAATTGCGTCTGCCCGCAAGAGGTGATATCTAAACGTCACGAACTACATTACAAGAGTCACAAGCGGTTCTCCATCATAACAGCATATTCCCAGCATATCACCCTTTTTTAGTTACCATAAATATGGTGTTATTTCTTCCAAATTATTACTTAGGTAATTAAGACTACCTCAGGTAGTCTTTTTAATCATAATTTAACATATCATGTTACAGACACTCTTCAGTGATTATCTCCTTATCATTTCCAATTTCCAATTGCGCCAAAATGACAAAAGTAGGTGTAATAGCATGCTCCGCACTCAAATACTTCATTTTTGACTTTTACCTGGACTTTCAGCAACGAGTCTCTGGGTCACTTCTTTCAGCCGAATCACACATTCCCTTCTCTTTTCTTTATGGTCCACCAGTGGAAAGGGGTAGTCTTCACCCAATATACATCCAGCAGCTTGTTGAACAAATGCAGGTGCTTTCCATGGTTCAAACAAATACTCTGCGGGCAACCCTTTTAACTCAGGGACGTATTTCCTGCAAAACAATTTCCAATAAAACACTAGTATCTGCTCAATAAATTAGGTCAGTCCTTACTTAGCACTAGTTAAAACCAACCACACATTACATTTACCTCACATATTCCCCATTGGGATCAACCTTCTTCCCAACTTCCACAGGACAAAACCAAGGTACGTGCTCTTTCACAAAAGTACTTCCAGACAGCCACAGCCAATTTCCCACATTCAGACTCCACTCAGCATCCAATTGAAGCTCCTCGAAAACCTTATGGAAGGAAATCAATCTTTTCACCTCTTTCCTCTAAACCAGAAACTCACTGTAAAATATCCATTTGGGTATTTCTTACCTTAAATCCCTCTTCCCAGTTGATCCAAAGGCATCCCCTGGTCAAGAAACACCCAACAGCTTGACGTGCCATATGAGGGATCCAACCTTCTGTGCGCAACTGTCGCATTACTGCATCGATCCATGGAAATCCAGTAGTACCCTGGAAGTTGTAACGCACATTGTTAACACATATTATCAACAACACCATCATTGACATAATTCCATGAAACTTACATTCTTCCACTGCTGGAGACCTTCAGCATTTTCCTCCCATGGATACTGTATAGAGAGAGGGTTGCTGTTCATCTTCTGAAGCCCTGGAAAGGTACTTGCAATGGTGAAGAAAAATTCTCGAAGCAGAAGAGGTTTGTAAAGCGACATGGGTGGTATGGTACCTTTCGACTGTTTCCCATGAGGGCACAAAAAAAAAAGTAAAAAATTAGATGAACAAATCAAATAAATAAAACAACAGCAATAATTAGTTGAAGGCTTTATTTATTTACTTTGACGATAATTAAGTTTAAACCAAAATAAAATTTTCACCACATCCCTTGTTTACTGTGATAAAAAAGTTGCAAGGAGAATCTTCATATGTTTACAGTCTTGTCAATTCCCAAGTCACTTCTTCATTTTCGAAATAACACCCATCCCATCAACCACTGAGTTGCTATAAAAGTTATGTTCACGAAGTTTCCAAGCATACCCAGTCATGCCTTTCTATCACAGAATCATTTTGCCCCTCAAGGCCAGTCATTTATTGGGTTTTTTTTACATAACCTTTTAGATTTAATTTAAAGGTGATGCACACCTTGACGTAACAGTCAGTAAAGCTCTCCCACATCATTCTGGGTGACAAACATCCAAACCGAAGGTATGGACTTAAGTGAGTTTTTGAGGAAGTCATTGATGCTGCACTTAATGGGACCTCCTCAAAGTTGTTTTTCACCAACTAAACACATAAAAAAAACAAAAATGAATTAGAATTCTGAAATACTATACTAAGAAATTACCAAAACAAGTTGTCATTCATGGTTAATTCTTACCCATCAGTTTAACAAAATTTAGCAAGTTATGAAAATGTATTATGTACCTCTTTCTCAAGAAGACCAAGTCTTCTTAAAGCCTCTTGTTCTCCCCCTCTCCATAACCCTGCACTTGTCACACATCGTATGTCCTTCACTCCTAGCTCATTCAATTCAGGAACTCCATACTTCCTCTGATGATCAACAGCTACTGGTGTCACACAGTTTCCCACAAGTTGTCTGTTCACTTCTTTGACAGGACTGGGTACACTGAGCTTGTTCTCTTCGATGACTTTCACAAATTCTTTGAAAAGCATTGATATCTTCCCCCAATTGGCATCGACAATTTGACTTGGCTCAAACAGAGTGTGTGATGTTTTGCTGACAACTTCAACTCCTGATTTCTCTGCTATATGTCGGATAACAGCATCTCTCTGGGCCCCAAATGGCTCACAGTCAGTTTCAAAGCTAATGCGAGTTATGCCCCAATCTGAGATTAATTCAGGGAGCACCTCCACAGCTCTGCCCCGTACCACGAACAGGCGTGATCCAAGCCTTGCTAGCTGATTATCCAGATCTCTTAAGCTCTCAAGTAAGAAATTCCAGCGGTTGGCTGAGATTTTGCTCTGCTTTGCTGCTGCGGTGTCCAAAATGTACACAGGATAGAATGTCTCACTTCCGTTCAAACAGGAGCGCAATGTGGGGTTGTCGTGAAGCCTCAAGTCTTTTCTGAACAAATGCACACTGGTGTGTCCACTTTGCATCACTGCAGAGAAAAATTAGAAATTCTGAATCCCTTTATCCATGTTTAAAGAACTTAGAGAAAAATAATTTCCAAAATCTTTAAAACTCCTCATTATCATTGTATATACCTGGAATTTGAATAGTCATGCTCTGGGCTAATTCTTTCAGCCTCTTTAGACACTTCCTCAAGTGTTCTTTATGGTCCACTAACGGTAAGGGGTAGTTTTCACCGATTATACATCCAGAAGCTTGTTGAACTGGTTTAGGTGTTTTCCATGGTTCAAACAGGTACTTAGTGGGAAAACTGCGGAGCTCAGGCACGTATTTCCTAAAATCATAGCAATTTTAAAGATTTACATCTTAAATTGGTTGTTAAGAAATGAATGGTCTGATCCTTAGAGTAACAGAAGATGCTATGATCTGAACATATTTGTGAGGGTGGTTCTAAAATGCTTACCTAACAATAACAGAGACTGATATTTTGAGAATTTGATAGGGTGTTCTTCCCATGTGAGTGAAGAAATCACTCACATAGTCCAAAGACAGATGATTGCCTTTAGACATCAAGTGACACACCTATCAATCCAGATACCAGGCCTTATCAGTAATTTGGTACTGGTTGTTTCAAGTAGTAAGTGGAAAGGTTACTGATTATTTACCTAATGTACTCTCCAGAGGGGTCCATCTTTCTTCCACTGTCCACTGGGCAGAAGAACTCAAGAGGTTTATTTCTGTCAAAGACATTGCCAGAAATTAACAACCACTTTCCAGCATTTATGCTCCACTCTACATCTAACTGAATCTCTCCAAAGACCTATAAAAGTTAAAATGTTCATTTAATCTACAGGTAGTTGTAAACCTATCCTTTATAGCAGTTTATAGCAGGGCATTTTATGACACAGATGGTGGGCCTATTTGCTTTTTCCAGCATGGCAGTTGCATTCTTATCAAGAAGAGAAACTGAATAAAAAAGAGTGAAACTTATGGCATTTTATTGTTTCATGCCAAAGGAACCTTTTCATGTAATTGAATAGAGCATTCTAACATGAGACCCTTACTTTGACCCTGTAATTCTGGTTTATTTAATTGTATCAAAATCTAAAAGAAAAAGATAAACAAACAGAAAAAGCATTAAAAGCACCCAGGTAAAATGTCAGGTGGGATACCGGCAATCCCACCCAGGATCCCAAGTGGGAATGGCAGGATCCCGCCTTAGGTGGTGGGATCCCACCTTTCCCACCTGGGATAAAGATTTGACCCACCCTGGATCCTGCTTTAAATGTGGGATTCCTGCATCCCACCTGGGATCTTAGGTGGGATTTCTGCATTCTACTTGGGATCCTAGTAGAGATTTACATATTCCACCTGGGATCCTTTATCCCACCTAGGAAAACACTCTCACTCATGATCTTGAGAAGGATAGAAAGAAAGAAGTGGTAATCTTACCTACATGTATGACATTTAGGTAAGATAATTCCAAAAGATGTTCAGTGTATCTCGAACATAAAGGGCACAAATGTAAAGTCTCCTATGAACCCAATGATTCTGGGATCATCTAGGTATCTCCTATACTTCCTAATATGTTTGATTCTTGTTGATTATTTCTACATAGAGTGAATTCACATCATTATTTATATCATCATCAAAACATGGATCCAAGGTATGCATCATCCAAGGAAAAAGAACCAGTCAGAAAAGTCAGAATACTTTTGCGCGCCTCTCTTGAGACTGCAATTGGGAAAACCAGAGGATTCTCTTTGCTAGCCAATGTCAATTCCAAAAAGATCCCGTGAAACAAAGAAAACTCCATTTGGCGCTCATCTTTGAATGTACTTTTCATTGGTTGATCGCTCGTGCTTCAAGTTATTTCTTTTCTTGACTGTTTTGCTTAATATGACATTTCTAAAGATGGGTTTTATTGTGGTTCAATGCGAAAACGAGACCAGTATGAGTGTTGTAAATGAAAAGAAAGTCATTGGCACCATGTGAAAAGAAGGGACAACAGTTGACATATCGACTGGTACAATAAAACAATGATTGAGTGGCCATTTATAAAGCTAGGATTTTGAAAGTTTGTGGTTAGTACAAATTGCAACATTTGTTACGTGATCAATTCTCACCAAAGAGTTGATATAATGGCTTGAATTGAGCTTACCTAATGCTCGCCACAACTGAAACTTGAATAATTCTGAGAATCAAATTGGTCACTTGCATGCTGCAGTTTCTTAAGCTTACACTTTTACAATGAGATAAATCTATTGGTCAGGTTTCAAGATTACTTTAGTCACATTTGGGAACATTCTGACCCTGCTTTGCTTTGAAAAATTCGACTAAAGAGAGAGCAGAATTTAAACCACTACCTTCTTCGTCAAATTTTTTATAACATGAATTATTGAAGTTTTGTCTTTCTTCTATTCTTTCATATACAACAGCCAATTTTTTTAAATGTTGAGCCAGATTACACTGTGAATGGACTGCATAAATGATATTGAAAAAGTAATATGTTGAGTTGTGCTGTTATTCTTTGAAAATGTTCAGTTAAGTAATTTGTAAGTGAAACAACATCAAAAACATTTTCATTGCAAATAAATTATGAGATCTTCATCACATAAAGTATGTGCATTCATGTCCTGCTTGAATCATATATGATCAACAGCTTGGGTAAGATAATGGGATCCCAGTGGAGGTGTCCATATGTTCTATAGCTTGTTGGAAAGTTTTTGACCCTCAGTGGATTGACAGGATCTATAGCTTAACTAGAAAATTTTATTCTCTTAATTTGAAGGATTAGGTTACAAAAGGGATTGATAAGATATCCCATCTGATACATTTCATAAATCTGTGGTCTCCAGTGTAAGGCAGGATCCCTCTAAGGATTTTTCTTAAAATCCTAAGTGGGAAGCCATCTGAAATTTTAAGCAGGGTCTAAACTGGGATTGGCAGGATCCCAGGTGCAATCCCACCTGGGATGTGATTTCCTGAGTGGGAAACTATCTGAAATTTGAGGCAAGATCCCAAGAGGGATTGGTGGGATTCTAGGTTTAATCCTTCCCGGAATGTGCTTCCCCGGGTGGGATGCTATTAGGAATTTAAGGTGGGATCCCAACTTCAATTGGTGGGATCCCACCCGAAAATAAGGTGGGATCCCACCTGGGACACACCTGGGATCCCAGGTGGGATTGGTGGGATCCCACCATATATTTTTACCTGTGTAAGGTTTGCTCATGTCAAGAAATATATGCAAGTAACTGTTTTCAATCAGCCAGACTTCCACATTGACAAAAGCAATTCACTTAAATATCTAGTTTTACCTTAAAACCTTCTTGCCAGTTGATCCACATGCACCCTTTTGTAAGAAAACAACCAACAACTTGTGCAGCAACATCTGGAATCCACCCTTCAAGGCATAGTTGGCGCATAACAGCATCAATAAAAGGAAAACCTGTTTGACCCTATGTAAAAATGTATACTTTTAATAGAACTAAAGAGCATCCCATCTGTATATGCTTAATATCTAAGTCTTTTGCCAGAGTAACAGTAAATATGCACCAACAGAAGCACAAAAGTGATCTTACGAAGCAATTTCCCCAACTTTTCTCTAAAAAACACAAACAACATTTGTGGATGGCAAAGTCGATGTGACTATTTCATCATTGAGAAGTGTGTGTACACATTTAATTGTAAACTCGGTGGAAGGTGTGCAAACAACAATAATACTTGTTCAAGAATATTTCAGATTTATAGCATATTCACATAAAAATACCTTTTTCCATTGCTGTACAGCAAAATCATTGTCCTCCCACTCAATTTGCAAGCAAAGTGGATTGTTCTCTATCTGGTGAAAAGTTGGATTTTGGCTGCCAATCAAGAAGTAGAAGTCTCTCCAAAGTAAGAAGTTGAAGAATGACAATGGAGGATTACACTGCTTAGCCTGGAAGAAAAGTATTTGAAACACACTTTATTTAATCTTCTATCTGTTGGGGGTTAGCAGTATCTACAAAAAAAGGAGTGAGAGGAGGAAAAGCATTAGATTAACTTTAACATGTAAAAAGAATCAGGACAAACTAATTTCACTACCTGATCTGCCTTCTTTTAAATAATTTACACCACTTAAAGTTCTGGTTTTTATAGCAATCTTGATACCTTAAACTCCCTCAAGCTATTTTTAGGCTGATTTTCCTTTATTTCAGTTTAATTACCATTGATACTTATTTTGAGACAAAGGCAAACAAATTAAACTACAAAACAATCCTACCTAAGAAAAGTATCACTCACTTTGTAGTAAGTACTTGAAATTGCATGGTATAGTGTCCGGGGTGATAGGCATCCAAATCTGAGAAATGGGCTCAACTTGTCCACAGAATTATGAAAAAAGGTCTCACTGTTTGACTCCATTTGAAAATCAGTGTTCATCATCTACAAATGGACAAACAAGTGAACAACACATATGAAAGGAAAATATAGTTGAAGTAGCACAGGCTTAACTCCATCAGTACCACCCCTAAAAGGAAAACAAGATGGGTGGTGCCCAGCTACTGGGATAGAAACCTGGAAAAATCCTTTAAGCAGCCAATGATGGACTGCAGGGAATACTGAAATAGTAACAGGGAATACAATGTTAATACCAATAAACATTTGTTGGTATTAACATTGGTGGATGTTTCACTACTGAAAAACCTTTGTTGATGGTGTAGTGCAAGCCTGACAGAAGAAATTAGACTTGCAAATACATTTAGTGCAGTGTCATATGATGTGTGTTCTCTCCTCCTTAGTACCTGCTAATATTGTCCGTCCCTACAATTTATCATTGATTCAAAACATCTTATTAAAACATACCTCCTTTAGAAGATCTTCCAATTTTTTCAATGCCACCGTCTCTCCACCATGCCATATTCCTCCACAGGTTACATTAGATTTTTGAATTCCAATATCTTCAAGCGAGGGTATATGGTAGTCAATGAATTTATTTTCAATATTTATCAGAGTTGGAAAGCTTTCTTCATTCACTGTTTTCACTGGAAACTCTGGTGGTCCAATTGTGGAAATGATGTCAAGAAAGTCAGTAAAGAGTACTGGAACCTTGTTACAATTTGCTTTGATAACACATTCAGTGTTGTACAGGGAATGTGAAGAACAGGAAACAACCTTCACCCCGGCACTCTCAGCCAGGTGAGTAACAACAGCGTCTCTCTGTTTTCCAAATGGTTCATTTTCTGTTTCAAATGTTAACTTTGACACTTCTAGATTACTTAGGAGTTTAGGAATTACTTGAACTGGATAACCTTGTATAACTAGCAGCTGACAGCCAAGGCATCTTAGACCTCTTTCCAGGTCCTCTAAACATTCCATCAAGAAATTCCATTGATTTGCACTGAGTTTTCCATCTGCTGGAATACAAGGTGGAAGGACATAGAGCCCCAGCACCTCACTACTTCCATTCAGTGCCTCACACAGTGCAGGGTTATCATGAAGCCGGAGGTTTTTACGAAACCAATGGATTGCTTTACTGTGTTTCTCTTTCTCAGCCATAAATAACACCCCTAAGATAAAAACAAGAAGAGATACCTTTGTTACAAAATAAGAAATTTAATTAGTAGCTGGCTTAGGAGCTTACCATAGGCAATAATATTAACTTAATGGCAAGTTAGATCCTTAGATTCCTAGACTATAGGATGAAAAGGGTTAGGGTCAGAATTCTAGAATATTTTCAAATCAAAAGAGTAATAGCTTTCCCTATCAGCTCTCACAGGTGATACTACTTGCATTTGTTACTTATGCAGAAACAAAAACAAAATGTGCTACATTTATTTCGGAAAGTGAAAAATTATCCAATTACCTCTATCAGATACAAAACAGGCACATAAAGACATTTTTTAAAGTAACTTTAAATGCCAGCATATAACTTTGTACACATCCTTGGTATACCTATGTCTTGCAGCCTGCTAATCTTCAATATGGGAATCTGTGGTTTTTTAATTATTTGTCATTATACTCAGACTATAAAAGGAAAGTCCAGTCTAGAAAATGTTACCCAAATCAAAAGTTCCTGAGTTGCAAATTGTCCTAACTAGCTTTTCATTTGAGCTAAAAACATTTTTGTGGCTAATAATCACGTTCCAAAAATGTACATTTTCAAATTGAAAATTGCCATCTTTGTTATGATACAACTATGACATAGCAATAGCCAAGCATGCCGACTTAAATCTCTGCTGAGATGGAAGTAGGCAGGGAAAACAGTGGAGAGGAGAGCACTACTGATTGAATTCTGGACTTGGATTTTAGTCCAGAGGGAGTAAGACATCCATTTATATTTCAAATGCAATATGGCTTGTCTTCAGGAGAAGGAAAAAACCCTTGATCAATAAAGAAAGTCAGGAAATGAGTTTCAAGGAGAAACATAGACCTGCTCATTCTCTGACAACTGGAAAATGTGAGTGGCATACTTGTGGTAACTGTCAAGAGAAGCCTACAGAAAACAAGATAGTATGCTGCCAAGAATTAAATGTACTAGGTCACCATCTCAATTTTAAAAGTAACAGTTTTTTTCCCCCACAAAAAATCCTAGCTCTAGAGTGATAGTTATTTTACTAAAAAAAAGACAAAAGTGCTAGTCTTTTGGCATCCGCTGTAACAGCTGGAATCAGCTGAGTAGAAATCAAATTCAACAATAAAAAACTTATCTCTGTTAATAATTCAGGACCCCTAGCTGCGACTGTTTTACTCTCTTGGGGAAATTTTGCTATGGCCTTGGTTAGGCAAGAAATTGGTAAAATTTCCGCACAGCCCCATACTATTGTTAAACAAATCTGTTTTCCCAATAGCAATGTATTGTTTATGTCGTTTTCTCTATCCAAGAACTGAATGCGTAATGTAGTATGAGGCTGTGCGGAAATTTTACCGAGAAATTATGTGGTAAATCACTCATTTACCACGAGATTTTACTGGAAATTTTCTACGTTATTTTTTTCTGACGACTACAATATATTTCTGGCGACCTTTATACGCTTCTCGTTCACCAAATGGCGATTTTAGAATAAAGTTTAGCTTTTATGATTTAAATTTATTACGTGCTGTGAAAATAACTACTTGCTGTACACATACAGACATTGATGGTCGTCGAATACAATTAACAATGTGAAAAAGAATCTCACCTCAGTGAAGCTTTCTCGCGAGTCTAACAGTATCGTCAGACACCACAGATTACGGGGCTCACGGTTTTCATCGCTCCGAAGAACGGAGCGATGAAAAGTAATCATAAGATAACATAATGGAGACTAATGCAAGAACCCAAATAAAATCAAACTAGTTTGGCCAATTTTACTTTGCACTCACTGAATTGAGTGGAATTTAAATTCAATGAGGAAAAACTTCTCACTGTCTACGGAGTCCACAATTCAAGGCGCCCAGCTGCAACTATTTTGTACGCTTGAGGAAATTCAGCATCAGTGTCGGATAGACAAGGAAATCTGCGGTAGCCGCGTCGAATTGCTTAGGGTTAGGGTTAGGGTTAGCTTAGGGTTAGCTTTTGTGGCGAGTTTGCACTGACGACTTTTCGTGATTTTTGGTCACCAAAACGAGAACTTGTGTCGAGCTTGCATGAATTGGATTTACCACTTGCTGTACACATAAGACCTTACTTTCCCCAGAATACAATTAACTTTGTGAAAAGGAATCTCACCTTGAATCCAACGAAGCTCTCTCACGAATCAGGCAGAATTACTTAGATTGTTCCAGAGTAGTCTACGATTGAAACACATCTACACTAACATACAAGGCTCACGGCTTTTTCACTGCTCAGTTCAGCGGATAGCATACAAATAACTAACCCTGCATGTCATACACTTTATTTTTCCACTCACCAAAACGTGATTTTCGTGAGCCACGTGAGGACCTTGAAAGTCCTTATCTCACCGGAAACCAAAACTGAGAGAAGAAGAAGAATAAAAACTTTAAAACTTTTTTGTCGTGCACATTTTTTAATACTGATCATGTTATTTATGGTCAGCCTTTCATTATTGAAGCATCTGCTTATTTTTTTTCAATGAAAATAGCCACCTGTGTCAAGTCAACCATTGTATTAACGGCCAATTTTATACTGAAACGGACTTGAGCAATTTGTGACGCTTGAAAGAAAGAATAATTAGGAATCCAGTAAAGGCCAAAGGGAGAGAGACCCTCAACTCCGCAAACATTATACGCATCAACTTCATAGTTTATTAAAACTTCTAAATAGTAAACTTTGGATTCCTGATGTTCCCCTGCACGTGACGGTTCTTTGGTTGGACACATAGCGCAACTTGCGCACTCAAGAAAACTGATGGCAGCATGCATATTACCCTGCTTTCTTGCACATTAACAATGAAGTCATAAAAACGGTCGTAAATAGCGTTATCTTCAATAAATCACTATAGCGGGTAACTTTAAATAAGACGCTACTGCATTGTTTCCTTGGTCTTTCTTCCTTCTTCATATGTACTTACAGCGCATTTGGTTTCAAAACAAAGGACGAGCGGTGTTACATAACTAGAGGTCAACCTTACCATCACTCCCCAGCAAAAACTTTAAGGCACCACAAGACGGACTCGGTATGCGTTGTTTTAAGTAAGCTAGTAAGGGCCACGGGTTTGTCATTCTATGACCGTTGAGTTTTTACCCTCGTTAAAAAAAATTGTTTTATTTGTCAATTTATAAGTCACTTATAACTTGACCGATGAGTAATTTCGGAAAGGGCTGACTTGCAAGATTCAGAAGCTTTGTATGAAGAGCACGCGAAGGATAAACATGTCTCCAGAAATTCACTTGAGCAATGCTTTCTAGGGAAATAGATAAAGAATCCAGGTAGGATCAAAGAGAAAGAACCCCCCCCCCCTCCCGCATTTTCCTTAACGCCACCTGCTACTAAAAAGTAGAATAAGTAAAATATGGATGCCTGATGTTTCTTTGCACGTGCTGGTTCTTAAGTACGACACAGACGCAAGTTACTCACGCACGGATTGACACGGAAACCGATGGCAGCATGCCCACTGCCTCCTTATTGTTTCATAACAAGTGACGATTGGCGTTACATAACTAAATTTGAGGTCTAATATACTGCCTTTCCCTCCCCCCCTGCAAACACTTTAAAGTGCAACAAAGCGAAATTTGCTTTTTGTCTAAGTTGAAGTGAACATCAATCGGAGAGAATAGCAGTCTGTCTTTCAATGAACCGTCTTGCCCTGTCTTATGACCATTAGCAGACGAGCCAGTGGGAAGAAAAGGGTGAAAATAGCGTATTCAACAAGTTAAATAGAGACACTGATAATAATAATAATAAATAATAATAACGAATTTTTATACAGGATTGAAAAACCCATCAGTGTGTAACACTGTTGTCCTTGGGGTCCTGTCAAAAATAATAAATAAATAAATAAAATAAAATTTAACAAGATATAATCATTGATCTTAAGGTCTAGAAAAGCATACAATAAAATTAAAAAAAATTAAAAATTAAATAAAAATGCTCTAAAAAGGATACCTATAACCACGTTTAGATAGAATTTAACTAAAATAATCTCGCAATTTGTTCTTAAATTTCAGTCTCGAATCTAACGACCTTAGTTCAGCAGGCAGGTTGTTGAAAGTCTTTGCTCCTTGGTAATAGAAGCTCTTTTTACCAAATTCTAAACGAACTTTGGGTAATTTCACTGATATACCGTTATTCCTAGTGGCCTTAGAATGAACCAGCCTTTCGAAGTAGTTCTTAAAGGGTGTGCAAACATTATTCAGGAGACAGTCGAAAACAAACAGACAGCTTTTACGCTTGATCAAATTGTTCACGGAAGGGGGATTAAAAGAACTATTGCCGATAACTTTAAAGCCTCGTCGTTCGATGTTCTTTATCATTTCCTTTCGGTAATCCGGAAAGATGATACTTACCTCTAAGTTGAAGTTTGATCAGTTATAATTCTATCAAGTAACAGGATGCCACGGGGTTCACATGAGGTAGCTTGTGCATGCGCTGATCAGCAATCGAAAACTCTAGGCACGTGGCGTAGTCAGACAACAGACACGCGATCAAGTAGACAAAAATTTTACATGTGATGCTTAAAAATGATAGGGAGCAGTTTGCAAGGGGAGTGCTACCCAAGGCCTGTGAACCACTGAAGAAGGATTGCAGTGAAATTTGCATTCGAATGTTCTTTTGGATAATGTAAGGGATGTGTGTATTATTTTTACTCAAAGGGTACACAAATTCACCTGCCTGAAACGATGTTGTTTGTGCAATTTGGAATACTATGACATTGTCCGGCTTACTGCCTCCCTCATACACTGTACCTGGTCTACTCAATAGGGATGCGGAAAGGAAAGGTTGTCAACAAAATACCGCTCAGAATGGCGACTGAAGCCAACAATTAAATTAAGGAGTACTCCAGAAATTGATTAGTTTGCAACTGCAGTATGCCAGCAACTTATTACCAGCCTTTGCCGAGGAAGCCTGATTCAGAGGCTATTTGTATCGACGCATTCTTTGACCCCCTTACTTGTTCAATAAGTAGAATAAGGATATTAACCGAGACTTACTTCTCAGTTAAAATGTAATTGGAATTCTAACAAGATACGAGATAAAGATTACTGGGGGTTACATGACCAGCCTAAGTGAGAAATGGAGTTTGAGGCATGTAGTAAGTCTTCTGTGTCACTGACATTTTGTTTGCAATGATTTTTGTCATCTCCTTGGAGTTCAGAATCATCACCATAGCTTACATATAAGTGACCGCGGCTGTGTTGTCACTGGTTTCTAAATATTGTTTGAAACTGTGCGAGACATCTTGGAATTCATTTAGCAAATTAGTGTACTGGTTTAACTGCCTCTTCCTCTGAAATCCCAAGAAGTTCCTTGAAATTTTACTTAAAGATTAAGATAAAGATTACTGGGGGTTACATGACCAGCCTAGGTGAGAAATGGAGTTTGAGGCATGTAGTAAGTCTTCTGTGTCACTGACATTTTGTTTGCAATGATTTTTGTCATCTCCTTGGAGTTCAGAATCATCACCATAACTTACATATAAGTGACCGCGGTTGTGTTGTCACTGGTTTCTAAATATTGTTTGAAACTGCGCGAGACATCTTGGAATTCATTTAGCAAATTAGTGTACTGGTTTAACTGCCTCTTCCTCTGAAATCCCACGAAGTTCCTTGAAATTTTACTTAAAGGAATTGACTAGTATACATTACGCCAATCGACAGAAGTCATGTTACAATTGGGGTTCACCATATTGACTACAGACGGTGTTCATTTCGAAATGTCTCTCCCAACGCCATTATTGGGGACTTTTAAGGTTATCATCAAGCGACAAGTCCCATCTTTCTTCTCCTTTACCAATATACCAGAAGTAGATTCACCCTCTCGATGGGTGGCCTTGTCCGTCTCTTTGTCGATTATGACTTTAATGTGCCAAGTTTCTTGGCGTTGAACCGGGAAAAATTGCATCAGCAGTTGTTTTAAATAGAGGGAAAGCCCTGCAATATCTCAAGTTAATCAGTTCTCAGTTCAATGACTGAGAGCAGATCCTCCGAGGTTGTTCCAGACATTTTGGGTTTCCACTAGTTTACATCGAAGCCTCGCCACATGTGGGGGTAGAGATATCTCGCTTGGACTTGTTTAGTTCAATTCCGTTTGGTTTTGCCTAGCGTAGAAGCTACTCTAATTCACCGGCCCTGCGAGTTGGACGTCTGAGACCGGCCACCTCTCTATCCATCAAAAGCTAGATGTCAGGTAAGCATCTCGAAGATGGCTAGATCACTATCAGTCAGTTTCCGCCGTTTTTCCGGAGGCTCTTATGTCTCCGCTTCGTCGTCGCAGCCCCTCACCTTGTTTTCAACGGGGTTTATAACAGGGACATGGGCGTCTTGAATCAATTTTCCCATTTTAACGAACACCACACACAACACTGGGTGACAATAACCACTTTATATACAATTATTCAGGCTACATGTTTAAACTGTATAAGTTGTAGTATTTGACAGCCTGATAAAATTAAAACTGGATAATGAACCGGCACCGGCAACCAAAGCGCTCAAGTTAAAATTGCATCAGTTATCGTTAAAAAGCTTCCATCGAAGTGAAATACGATGAAACAAAACTAGTACGTTTGGAGCACGAAGCAGTCACTTTTCATACGAGTCGCTCATCTTAAATTTTAACAATTGAGCCGTGCTTAAGTCGACTCTAACTGCTAGGTTGGTTAGTAACCTATAAAAGAGTGTTGAGGTCCATGAACAATATTAACTTTCCTTTGCACCAATTAAATATTTACAAGTCAACGTGAAACACCTCTTCATATGGATGGGGTCGGTCAACGTAACATGCTTTGATGCTGTACATATCAGATGTGGTCATTGAATATTATATTTTCACAAATGTTTCACAGTTTGGAAAACCTTTGACTGCGAGAGTTTTGACTAATTTTACATTTGAATGCAGATCAAGTACTCGATACTTGGTCCCATAAGAAAGAACTACCCCTTTTGCATCTAGAGTATCGGAGATTTTTTTTTCTTTAAAGCCGAGTAGTGCCACTATTTCTTCGTACCGAATAAATAAACCAAACAAAACAAAACAAAAACAGAAAACAACACTAATAATCAGGAAAATCTATTCTGTTGGGAATCAATAACTGAACATTTAATCAACGACATCGGCAATATCACGTGATGACGAGTTAGTGCCCTGAATCTGTTGGCACACGTCCTTCAGTCGTTCAAGACAAACTTTCCGTCTCTCGATGTGGTCACAGAGGCGGTCTGGGTAATCTTGGCCGATAATGCAGTTACTAGCTTTCTGCACGGCCAAGGG